AGGAAGGCCCTCTATGAGGTGGATTGATTCAGTGACTGGGATAATTGGGATGGGAGTGTCGGAGACAGTGCGACTGGCACAGGACAGAGCAGAGTTTAGGGCTGTTGTACACAGGGTCGCTATAAGTCACAAGCGACTCGACGGCACATAACAACAACAACAACATATTTTAAATAAAATTTCTAAGCTCTAATTAAAAGTTTAAAACATACGTAAAACTCTAATACAAGACAGCCCTCTTGGAAAGCTCTTCCACACTGAAACTAGAATTCATAGGTATCCTACTTTAATAAAACCAAACATAACATTTATGGCAGAAATCCATAAAAGAGGGAAGAAGGAACAAAGATTAATAATTTATACTGAAAAGTACTTCTTCCCCTATTCAGGACTCATGTAAAATGTTTTTTAAATAGTGAACATTATCTAACACAGTCACATATATCCACAAAAAATAGAATTAAAATACTTTACATATAACATATTATACATGTAATAAAGAGCCCCCCATATATCATTACCTGCAAAAAAAGAAATTTTGCTTCAAATTCATACATTAGGAAATAATTTAAAGTTCACTGTCTGAAGGATAATTAAAATATGCTAAAATGCCCAAAACAATTGGTTTGGTAAAAACACTGCTTTCCCTGTAATATGTAAATATTTTCCTATTTCCTGATGTGAAAGTTCTCTTCAATTCTATAAAAATCATTAGTTAGACTGCCACCATGGGATAGTAAACAATAGTGAATACTCAAACAAGGTTAGCAAGAACATGATACCATACCAGCGTGAGAAAGTTACTGATTCCACACTGTACTTCACATGGCAAAAGTTCACCTTTCCCACGGTAAAGTTTCTACTGTTGATTATTATCTCACTATTGAACTGAAGAACAAATGTCAGCTATGGTGAGAACAAATATTATACCAACATTTCAGATATAATTTAGATTACAGATTAGTCAACAACCTCCAGACAAATAGAAGACAATATAACTTTGGACCCTGAAGAGATGCTATTATTTTATTTAAATTACCCCTCAAAGTCAAGTTATTGGTTTTTTTTTTTTAAAAAGGCCATTATCAGTATTTCACTTTTGTACATTTAAGTTAATGCTTTATAACATCTAGCCCTTAAAAAAAAAAGACCCATTATTAGTATCATTTTCTTTACAAAGAAAATATATAACCAACTGTGTATATGAATAAAACTCTTTAGAGGCACAAAGTTCCTTTTATACAGGTGATTCTTAGCCTTTTAAGGAAACAATGAGACTCTGAACCCTCTGTCAAGGAATCTTAGATTAAAAATCACTCTTATAGATCTAGTTGTAGTCTAATTTCTTTATACTCAACTCAACAACTCATTACCAGTGAGTACGAATCAAGTCCAACTCAACTTTCCCACAGGTTTTTGAGGGCTATAAACATAAGAACAGATTGCCAATCTTTCTCCTAGAGTTGTTGGTGGATCTGAACTGCCAGAAAGGTAGTGCTTTCAGGTGAGCAGCACAACACCCTGTGTACTAGGCCACCAGAGCTCCCTTCTATATTATAGATGAGTAAGAATAGAACAGCCCTATGTGGTTTCCTAGGCTGAAAAAGTTATTATGGAAGCAGGCTGTCACAACTTTCTCCTAGGGAATAGCTGCTAAGCTTGAACTGCTAACCTTTCAGTTAGGAATCAAGCTCTTAACCCTGTAACATCCTATGGTCACATAGTGACAAAAAATGCAACACACAAAGAGACTTTCCATTGGATTTCTGGGGCTATAAATTACACAGGAGGAGACTCTCCGTCTTTTTCCTTCAGAGCTGCTGGTGTATTTGAACCACCAGAGAGGCTCAGTCTCTGGTTTAGCAGCACAACTCTCTAAAGACCGTCACTATAGCTCAAAAATGCATTAACTCAAAGCGGCATTTCGAGTCAGATGAACATATGTCATATTACTCCGGAGATGAAAAGATGAGGAAAAATGGGGTTGCCTTCATAGTTAAGAAAGTAATTTCTAAATCCATCTTGAAGTACAGCATCGTGAGTGATAGGATTATATCCATACACTTACAAGGAAGTCCAGTGAATACCACTATCATTCAGACATATGCACCAACAACCAGAGCCAAAGAAGAATAGATGATTTCTACCAACTCTTACAGTCGGAGATAGATCGAACATGCAATCAAGATGCATTGATAATAATGGGTGACTGGAATAGCA